TCCGGAATTGGTGATTTCCCTTCAGCGCCATGTAGCGCTGGCAGGGCCACTACAAGACGGTGAGGCCTGACCGGCCGCTGCAGAGGCGGGCACGTTCACCGTCGTCGACCACGCCCCCTTCCTCGGCGCTCCTCTTACCATCCACTCATATAAGAGGCAAATGAGCACTGACGCTGTGGCTCAAGTGTCATGGCCAGTTGAGTCCGACTTTCGCCTCCTTCTTGAAAAGCACCTTGAGATGGCCTGAGTACCGCTTGACATCACCGCCGCCGCTCGTCGCCGTTGCTGCCATGCAGTCAGTCACCAACGGCGGCTGCTGGCTGGTTGGCTGACAGGCTGACCTACGACGGCAACGATGTCTTCAACTCTGGCCATTTCAAGGTGTGAGCTCGGTCTATTTTCGCTCCTTGGTTCATACTCCTCCCTTTGCCGGTTGAATGATTTCGTGTTCCTTTTGATCGTGGTTGCTTACAGTTGCCAGAATGACCGCCAACGCCACTCCTGGCGTCGTCGACAACGCCCCAAACGCTTTCAGCTTTCCTTCGCAATCTGGTCAAATGCCATATTTCAATTTTCCTCCCAACTACACAGCCACCGGCGATTTTTCCAGGTGAATCGTTTTTTCTAGCGCTCACTTACTGTATTACTAATTACTAATCACGACAGGGTCGCTGTGCACGTACTTCTTTACCTATTTATTTTTTAAACCTCATTTTTTGGACATTTGCGAAATTCCCAGTACAATTGAATTCCGAAAATTGAGTCCTTTGTGCAATAAATGCTCCTTCCTGAGGCAGACAGTACAGAATCCCCGATTTCAGAGTTAAAAATGGCTTAAAAAGGGGTGGAAATTTGGAGTGGTGCTGGAATAACGAATTTTTAGAATCACCTCAGCCTATTTAGTATAAAGCCGTCGTATCAAAAAGCTTCCTTATTTGCTCCTTTTAGTGCTTATCTGTGACCCAAAACCTTATCCCTAGTCTAACATAACATGCATTTCAGTTGGGCGAACGCACAGACGACAGCCAGCTGGTACCAACCCGATCCACGATTCGCAAGTAAGTAAACACCCGATTACGGTAGTGTGTTGGCTAAACTTTGTTGGTGTTTGTGCTGTGTGTCGTTGTGAGAAATTACGTGGCTTTATTTGTCGTGTGTATTGCATCATCACGATGACTTTTTCGAGCTGTATGGCTGGCATCCCACGGGTAGACCCGAGCCACAATCCCATCTTTCCTGAGTTTTTCCCCGCTGAGGCTAAGCTTTGAGGGAACGAGGCTCACGGCCGCCGCCGTCACCGAAATCTATGCAGTTATTAGTGTCTAATTGATCGCGCCTTGTATCGAGGCGACACAAAACCGGCCAGCCGATCGTCGTCAGCTCAGCAAATTATACTCTCAATTTCACAGCCCATTGACGAACACGTCTATGTCCACTTATCGTGGACATGGAGTATGGTTAGTAGGTAGTATACTTGAGGACGGTATCGCCTTCCCTCACGTATCCGGGGTTTTGTTCGATGTGGAAAGCTACGTGGGAGTTTTTGCACTTTCGCTTTGCATTACCATTACAGTATGCGATCGAAGATAGAGTATCGTAGTTTAGAGACGCAGAGTACCGGGGATGAATCAGAGAAACAGGTTGTGTTTCCCATGACGAATTCCCACACAGTTCGTCTCACTCAACGCTCTCTAGCTCTACCGCAACACATAAACACCCATGATGTGCTAAGTAGAGAGAAATGGGGATGGTTGAGGCCTTGCTTTGGACGAAGAGTAGTGAGGATAAATCCTTTGGGAGCCGCTTTATTTCTGAATTCAACAAAAAATTGGTTTATTGGGATTGTTGCGCCTAGATGTAGGGGTTTCAACTTCCCCGTAAAAAGTGGAAGTAAGCCTCGGCTTGCCAGCACCTCCACCCATTGCCTGAGTTCTGCAGCTCCGTTTGGGCCTTTCAGCCAGGAGGTACTTGGTATAGTTGTGATGAAAAAAAATTGGGATGAGATAATGTGGGGGTGCTTCCTCCTCATAGAAAGAACCAAAATCCGAATTCATCTCAGTGATCTTCGATTCTTCCAAGGTTACCTATTAGGACAAGAACTGAACAAATTAGGCCAATTCAACTTACTGTAAAATCTCTAAGCACCCCAAAATCCCTTGAATCATCCTCCAAACTGGCCCGAAGGCAGGGTCAACCCTATGTTGCTACAAGTAGCAACGGGGGTCGTATTTTGATGAGTTTGTAGAGGGGGGGGGTCGTACTTGCTTCGGTTGTAAGAAGTTGCATGTGATGAGTGGGGCGGAGAAAAATTTGCCGTTTCAGCGCGCGTATAGTTTCCCTGATGAAAATAGCCTGAGCTGCTGAAAATTGGGGAAATACATGTGGACATTAGATGTGGGAAGGCATTGTGGGGAATGTCAGGGAAATGTGTGGGAAATTTTTGCGGTTTCGGGTAGTGTATTGACTCCCCGCTCGAGGATAGGTGGGGAAAAGTTCGTGGGTTGAAGGACGGGGGCGTAGTGTAAACAGTTTCATGAGGGAGTGGGTCGTAAAAATAACTGTTGAGAAAGTGAGCAACGATAGGACTGACTGTCGAAGTGTAAGAGTGGGAATCAAGCTTCTAGGAAGTAACAAATAGCACATTATTATGGATTTCTGTGAAACAATCGAATGATCGACAAATCGAACACGGAGTTTGCTGCACTTCCTAGAAGTACTGTCACATTCATTCCGGCACGTCAGTAGGAAGACCTGATGCTTTAAATTGTTGAGGGAAGAACTCCAAAATATGGAGTGCTTCAAATCAAGAACAGGGAGGGGTGTTAGAACTGAAGGAAGGGGAACGCGCCGTTCCAACAATCCGAGGGCACATCAGCGCTGGTGGATTCTGTCAGGGGTTGTCGGTTCGGTCTTCTCCAGCTCCTAAACAAAGGGTATTGAGGCTCTAAAATGGCGATAATTCGCTTCAATTTACGGAATATTCCATTAATTCTTACCCTAGAAATGTATAATTAATTTTTACGCACAAACTAGCTCGGCATTTTTCCATCTATGAACATGCACGAGTTCGGGTTAAAAGTTTATTCATGAGTTTACGGAAAGTGAAGGGAACCTTTTACAATAAACTGAGCTCAAGCTGTTCATGTTTGAGTTCATTAGGCACGGCAATCGGTCATCGTAGACCCCTTACGTCTAAGCTAAATCCACCCAGTGGGAGCTGGACAAGAGGTCAATTGAGTGTGATTCTAGGCCCACTACGGGGGGTACAGTCAATATAGTGATGAGTCCCAGAACACTTTATCCAAGGTTACCCAATCCCTAGAACCATGGTTCCCCTACGGCTAGCATAGCTGACCCTGTTTAGCATATTGGATTATCACGCATTACCATTTCAAGAATTGCGCAATGCGCAACCTGGGTAACTCAATCCCGAACGGGAGCCAGGCTGCGCAATACTCCATGCCACCACTTGAGCATAAGTGAAGTGATATGAATGGAGTCTATAGGCAGGTAACCATGATCCGTAGCAAATAGTATTCGAGAAATTCGCCGGATATCTTTCTTAGCAAAACATCGGGGTCCCTGGGGACTTACGACCGTTTCTCGAGCGAGATTCCACTGAACGCTGGCGCTCGCTCATCGGTACAAGGTCAAGAACGACTGCCATGAACTCGGCCTGTGTTTGTCTTCGCCTCTTTTCGCGTTTATCGAGAGGGACACGGCAAACTCTGCTTAGTCGACGACGACGACGATGCGGCCAATTCCCACACATCGCCTCTCCTTCTCCGTCTGTCAGCCAAATAAGAAATCACGAAGAGTCGAGCACCAATATCGCGCCCAAAATCTCCGGAAATTGACACTTACCCAGGGAACAATTACCCACACCGTAGTCAAATATAGCCATGAACAACCCGGATACGATAGTTGTTTGAGATGTACGGGATGTACATATAGATCCGATAGAACAGGTGTTCATACGAATCATTGCAGTAAATCGCTTCGGTGGTCCCAATCTTGGTCTGAATATCGCTGCCTCACAGGGCCTAGTGAATTCGATGAGCAGGCGGAAGCGACGGGTTCTCTTCACCCAACAACAGGTACGGTTATAACGTTTTTTAGGGTAAGCGAGCTAGTGTTACCCATCAAATTACCCAAGCAATTCCAGGTGAACGAGCTGGAAAGGCAATTCCGACACAAGAAGTACTTGAGCGCTCAGGATCGTGAGCTCCTTGCGAAGAACATCGGTCTGTCGCCCACTCAGGTACGTCATCACGTCCAGGTCGCTTCAGAAGCCCTTCCTGAAAACACTTGACGATTCACCGATGCACCTGCCATTTATGACGTAACCGTTGGCGTCAAAGGCCAACCGCGGGTATTCACCACCTAGCCCCTATTCTTCTTCGCTCGACCGTCTGTCCTTCGTGATTCTCTAGTCGATCCAGTCTCTCTCTATACGTTTCTAGTTCCACACGGCTACACGGCTAGGTGCAGGTTGCTATTGTCCTCAAACACGTCCCAACTAAATTCTAGCCAATCAAGGCCTAGGCAGGTAGCTGGCGCGCTAGCATGCTTCCCCATGGAGGAAAAAACTTTCAAAAACCACTACCTAGTGCTATTTTAGGTGAAGATCTGGTTTCAAAACCAGCGATACAAGCACAAACGACAAGACAAGGAACGTGCGATGAGCAAAGGTGGTGGCAGGGAGAACAGCGAGTCACCTGGAAGTCATGATGACTCGCTGCGTTCATGGAAAGTCCCTTTCCTTAAAAGCGACTGGACGATTCACCGATGGCAACCTGCAGTGGGGATGAACGTTAACGTTGGCGTTCATAAGGCGCAAAGCGCGGTCGGTAGTTCAACCGCTAGGCCCTCAGTTTTTCTTTTCGTTAGGACCGTCTTTCCTCGTGGATTCCTTCTAGTCGCGATCCGAGTCGTCTGCTCTATCGTTTTTTGGGTCGCACACGGCTACACGGCAGGGACAGGTTGCTATGTGTTCTCAAAACAAGTTTCCAACTAAATTCGAGAGCAATCAAGGGCCTAGAGCATGGTTAGGGCTGGTCGCGCGATAGGCATGATTCCCGGACGGGAGGAAAAACTCGCGATCGGAAAACCGACTAGCCTGTGCGTTTTGGGAAGGTGAAGATCGTGCGTGTCAAACCAGCGATACAAGACACAAACGACAAGAAAGAGTGCGATGGAGCAAAGGTGCGTGAGGCTGCAGGGAAACAGCAGCGGGGTCGAGTTCACGGTCGGGAATGTGATTGGCATGGACAGCGAGCGGGGTAGCCGGATGACAGGACTGAGTGGCGGTTCCTTAAAGGGGGCTGGAGCCATTGAGAATTATGGAAGAGACATTCATTATATCCGTCTATTTTCGAGCGAGAGAGCGTCAAAGCCGAAAAAAGTGGCGCGATAGTTAGAGGACAACCGTCCGAGCATTCCCGTCGCCGGGCGTGTCAACGCGACACTCTGTTCGTGCGGACCGATCATTAACGTATTTCGATCAGCAGGTTGTTTGGTGGAAGATAGGCGCCGGGCCCGCCTGTTCCGCTTCGATATTTAGCGGTGAATTGGCCTATCATGCATCGCCGCTAATGCCGCTCTGATCGATCTAGCATTCCAAACGACAGCAGGTCATGGTCGGGCAGCAATCAAGCAAGCAGTTAACGAGATCGTTGTTTGCGGCGGTGTGAAAGTGCGAGGGGACTGGGCAGGTCGTTGCTCTAGCTGACGGTAGATTTGTAAAGTCGATGACATGCGTAGAGGGATTTAGATTAGAGGGAGAGTGGAATAGCGGTTGGTCGCGTAGCCATCGGGGTTACGGACATGTCGCACTTCAAAAGACAATGGAAAGAAAATGGGTGCTGAAAGTGATCTGAGAGGTTGGGCGCGGGCGGGGGGAGCGGGGCGGGAGGTAAGGCATTGGAACGAGTGATTCAAATCTGCATCCTGAATGAATCGCAGAAAATAATAGTATAATACAAAAGTAAAGTGTCTAGGCACTCGGTGGGTCGCGAGCACGCCTCGGAATGTTCGTGAAAGATTCGGGGCTATGTTATCCCTAAGGTTGAGTGGCTGATTAAACGAACAATTTTTGCGAATTCCGCTGTATGCTGGAAGCGGGGACCGCAAGCGTCTAATATCCCAATAATAATTTTGGTAAGCAGCCCAGGCAAGAAGTACGATGACCCAGAAAGGTGGCTCATTCCAATAATGGGCATGTATGCTTATTATTCTCCATATGATGAGAAATTATCGTGAATTTCTGCCACGATACGCCAAGATGTTTCCTAAACATCAACATGCCTTTTTTGAGCCGGTTTGAAATTTCAAGTGTTTTCGAATGTGGTGTAGAGAAATTTAGCAGTTCCATTTCAACGACTAAATGAACGAAAAAAAAACTGCACAAACAGTCGTGTCATCACGAGAGAAGGAAGGTTGAGTAGAGGAGAATGCCGCGAGAAGGTTTCTGGAAAAAAGAGGTGGTGTTATGGAGTGCCCGAGCGCAGAATCAGTAAGTGGCGGGTGATTCTTGGACGCCATTTTGGGCGCAAATCACACCATCGGCCATTTCTTCAGCCTGGACTCAGAGGTCGAAGGATCCTATCGTTGATCGCCCAGTAGTACAAAAATCCTTCGTCTCCCCTGATGATAACTGAAAGTGATCTATGAGTCTCCTTTGGGCACTATGCGCTTCAGAGCAAAAAAATGTCTTAAAACTTACGCGCGATTACGTAGGTTTAGATTTCGCACTTTGTCTTGGGTCAATCTATCAGGGCGCGAGAGAGGCAGGAGTGCGTAGGCCTCGAGTGGCTCGGTGTTCCGGCCAGCTTTCTAGGTTCATTCTGAAGGTCCAGGTACGGCCTCCTTCTTCGACAGTGATCGGTACGCACATAATGAGCAGACGTTCCCTCGTACGAGCAGCAGCAGTGCCTAATTTGTTGATTGTGCGTCGAGTAATCTCATAAAGTTTAACATGATCGGTGGCTCGTTGGAAGCATCTGTGAGAAACAGGAAGGGTCCGTGGCAGTTTTTTGTTTTACAGCACCGTCAGCGTTTCGGGGGTGGTACCGACTGATTGTGAAAAGACCGAGAAATACACCTTTCTTTGACAACGTAATTGACTGTTAGAAGGTTCATAATGGTGGGAAGTGTTTAGGAAATAGTAGAGCCTACAAGGTCAAAGAACCTGCCGGTTCAGCGTTGGTCTCAGGAAGACTCTGCTTCGTCCTCTTCAGTAATATATTTTTGAGCCAAGGGTAAAAAAATTGAAGAAGTTGAAAAAAGTGCTTTCATTCTTAAAGAAGAACAATTGTATTACCATATTTTGACTCCATGCACTTTATTATTTCCGAAGGGTTCCATATAAATTAATATAATATTTTCAGGCGATGTATCAACAGCATGCCTACATTCCACAAGGTATCACGTTCCCATTCGCTCAGGGTTACTCAACTACCGGTCAATATCCGTATCCACAATATCGATTGTAAATTATTGATTGTCGTTGTGCGATCAATATAGACCGCCTAGGAATGTTGTTGTTCATTCTAGCACTTCATTCTCGCTGTCACATTCTCATATAGAATTATTCGCCGTGATTTTAAGAAACATAGTTCGTGTATGTACCGTCAAATACAGAGTATTGTCCGTAATAATCCGCTATCGTATCTGGCCACACGAGCTCAATTTTTCCTCGTGCTGCTCGAATGTATAAAATGTGTTGTGCTGCTGCCGAACGCGTTGTGCCGATGCCAATTATAACGGTTTTCTGGTGATTTTTTTATTCCGGCGCGACGCGTCCGCGTGCGTGTGCGTTATGTTTGTGTCACGTTTATTGTATTAAATTATTTATGGCAGGTATACCGTCTTCATCATCATCATATTGTGTATGTATATGAGGTGCGTGAAGGAGATGTGTGAAGGCACTTGAAGATGAATAAAAGTGTGCATTAAGTGAGGGATGTCCACTTAACACGACGGAGATCTATTCACTGTCTCTCTCTGTCGACCACCACCACTTCAAGTCACAGTCTGTTCAGTGCCCCGTGCCCCCCCCCCCTTTCGTCCGGTGTCTGAATCGACACAACAGATGGTCCGCGCCACTCATGGCCACCTCATCTCACAGGAACCCGTTCGTCCCTATCATCACAAGTGCTACCGTATTCCCTGATGGGAACAACACCTGAGAAGGAGCGTAGGAGGGCACCGGGGGAAGAAGTGCGTCTGGTTTTTTTTCGCGAAACATTCGATCCCTTCCAAAAGAAATCCGGAAACAACACCTTTAACTTAAAATATTTACTTGGTTGACTTTTCCTTTACTCTGCAGTACAATAAAGGAGGAAAGAACAACGTGACCGGCAAAGAGCAATCTCCTTCAGGATGCGCCATGGCATTCTACCTTCCCGCAGTACAATTCTATGCAAAAATAGCATCACTAAAAGTAAAGGCCATGAGTTTGTTCTCAAATCCACCTTTGTATGCGAAGCAGACCACTTGAAGGCGACGGGTCCTACTAACCAGGGAAAGGCATTCAACTTCCCATGGAACTTTGAAATGAGACCCAGATATATCGATAGAGCTTCAACGCTGATTACAAATATGGAAACTAAAACTGCAAAATGAACTCGCCAAAGGAAGTTGCGAGCAGCCAAAGGCTGTAAGTAAAGCTTCACATATGAACCGTGCTAGCCTTCGGCCTTTCAGAGCCGCCGTGGAGTAGCGGTAATGCTCTCGCTCTCCACCCGGTAGATCATACGTTCTCTTCCTGTTCATGTGCAAAGTTCGAGATCGCTACCGCTACTCCACGGCGGTTTTGAATGCCAGGACGGTAGCACGGTTTATATGTTCCGCTTCAATTCCCGCTATTTTTGACTGCTCACAACTTCTTTGGCAGGTCTATTTTGCAGTTTTGGTTTCCCCATATTTAATCAGCGTTAGAAACTCTACTGATCCATCTGGGTCTTAAATTCAAAGTTCCATGGAGAGTTGAATGCCTTTCCCTGGTGGTACTGATTCACTTTCACTCGTGTTCCTTGATTTCCATTCCTCTAAAATGGGCGATATGTGACACATCTTGGTCGTTTACAGTAACGCCGGGGGGGGAGGCCATCCACCAATGGTAACGCTGTTTCTTCTTGAGAAACGGTATTGTAGCCCTAGCCCTATCACGTACAGCTCTGTACGAGTATGTAGGTTCAAAGCCCACGACGTTGAGAGGTGTTGGCCGATCCCAAACATGCGCCACCTCATCCACTTCTCATGAAGGATCGTGGCGGCACTGGGCCTCATTTGGCCTATACAAGCGGAATTGGTATTGTTGTCCCTACAGACACGTCCTTTACCAATTAGACCCAACCCCTCTGCGGATAGAAAGAAGATTGATCGCCGGGACTGTTTATGAAGATGATCGGTTCAGGGAGCTGATATTGTGGGGGATCAGATGGCGTACGAGCCTGGATTTGATCCTCAAAGCGAGCAAGTGACAAGCGGCGGCGCTTAATACTATACCACGTTCTCCCAATGGTCAACAGATAGCGGCAGACTATGAAAAGGTTCAAGCGAAGTTCCAGATACAATGGAATGATCACGAAAATGGACCTACAGACCCCAGATGTGAGTGTGAAGCTATTCTGCCTGGTGTGAAGAGCTTCCCGTAGAGATCACGGTTCATTGGTCAAGTGTTAGCACACATCTCCCACAATGACGTGATGACCTAAGTATGTCAACGAATCTATAAGGGACATGGGTCAGTTCTGCCGAAAACCCAACCGCGCTGACCGTTTCAATTTCCTGGCTAAAACACCCGCGCCGACGACACATTGTTCTAATTAGATAACATTGTGTTGTCGGTTAAAAAGGTTTGCCCTCGCCTCGATTACCGTACGCCTTTGTCGGCTCGGCTGAGCACGTAAGAGATGAGCGACTGTGCGCTTATGTTTGTGCAAACTAATGACCTAAGGCGAACCGTCTACACCAGCTCTGTCACGGCCATGATGAAGTCTGGCGGGGTCTCTGGGGTTATTTCTGAAGGAAGGTACGTGGCGTCACCGATGCGGTATGTGGGCGTGGTCATTGACGACTTCCCTGTTTGTCCACCACAAAGTGTCTTTGATCGCCTCGGGTAAGTGCTCTTCGAGTAGGTGCTTGACGCTCGACAAGTCATGAGCATGGGCAGATGTGGTCACGTCAACTCCGGAAGCTGACAGAGCGGGTTGAACCAACCGTTTAGTTCAACAATATCAACGCAGCGATCAAATCGGGAAGTAGGGTAAGGGTAGCCCAAACCTAACTTCCATACTGGGCTTTAATCGCATTAGGCTATATTGGCGCTCTCAAAAAGATACGGTAACATTGTTCTGTTGAAGTCGCGTAGTACATATCTTTTTAAACGTGTCTAGGCCCCCAGTCGAAGAGGAAAGAATTCAGGATGCGGGAGCAATTCTGATTTACACAGAAGTACCTGCCCTTGAGCAATTCTCATGTTGCCCTGACGTTTTGCCTCACCCTCATCTTGGCTAAATCTTTGGGCGGATGTCCCCAGTATCTTGCGATAGCGTCCCATTGCGCTTATAAAATTGCCGATACCTTCTCAGGACAATCAGCTGACGCATTAGTGCACGAAAAAAATAAACCTAAACTAACTCCAAGTCCAGTTTTTTTTTCCCCCGGGCACTCCCACTTGTACATTTTCTACTACCCCTCCCACATGGCTTGACAGACAATGAAACAGCTGCTAACAGAGCACAGATTTTAAGGTTATTTTATGCGCTATTGCCTATTCTCTGTAAATTGTCTGTGATGACCGAATTAATCAATGCTGTCTTTTACGGCGTTCGTGAGTTGATCTCATGATACCGCAAAAGGATTGCTCCGATGTTTCATCGATTCTCAAGTAAAATATATTCCAGAGATGCGAATTCTCAAGCCCCACACTTTTGCACGAACAAACACTCGAAGAACTTAAATCAGCACCTTGCTTCGAACTGATTTTTACTAGTTAACCTCTCTTTTTCCTTCTTTCTTTTAATACTTTTTTTTGCTTTTTATTGTTATTGCAACGACAATTATTGACTATTTTGCATTTCAAAGCAGTACCTACTGACAGTACGTTCAGCGATTTTCGCCCATCAATACTGTACATACCGACGCTTTAACAACGACCGGGGTCAAGCTAACAAATGGGGTACAAAAAAGGAGGTATTACAGGTAAAATGTAAGAAAAGCGCGTGATTTCTCGAAAGTACTGGAAAGAGAGAGCAAGACGACTCGCTTTTAAACTTGGCAAGTTTAGGTCGTCCTCCTCAGTGGAATCGATATGGGAAGAAACAATAAAAAATTCATAATGATTTATTTTATTTATTATAGGTTAAATGTAACATGCGAGTAATCGTGATAAATGAACCCCGGAATGGCACAAGATTGCTTGACTCAAGATTCAGTTTAGTGTTTGCGGATAACGGAAAAAAGCTAGTTAAGTACTGACTCATATAATGTGAAAAAAGATATACCGAACCTAAACTAGTTAGTGATAGCAGAAAAAATTCAAAGAAGCAACAAGGAGTGGCTATTTTACTTGTTTTTGACTAACTGCTGATTCGACGGCCGCTTGGCTGGCGATTATGGCGAGAAGTTATCACCAAATGGTGACAAAGGGAAGGCTCCTGGCAAGTCGCCGGCACGGGCCTTCAAGAAGCGAGGTATACCCCCAGATGTAGCCATTGAAGCTGATGGTTCAAATGTACATTCCAACATCTGCTAAAAACGATTCTCTGAAGGAAGGTATCAAAGCGCAAAACAGCGCGTACCACGTCATGATGGGATTTGCGTAGTCAAAGCGCCTCCGTAGATCGCCCTGATCACGTTTACTGTCTTGCAATCCTCAGGAAAATTGGGCTAAGTAGGCTCTTAAAGACCTTTTTGCTGTACTCCCAAAGAAGGTGAAACAGTACACGCGATCAGGGCCGGTTCTACGACGTTCTGACTGCATATCCAGATCACTACCGTTGCACTGTTCTGCTACATAACTCCCTTCAGAGGATCGCTTAGCAGATTTGGAAAGGTAGATCGGGATAAGCATTCAAAAAACACGATCTAGCGTATACCTCTGGCTTCTTGGACCTGTGCGACACGAGCCCTTTCCTGCGTGAGTTATGGGCGTAAAAGTTTGCCCCGGCAGCCGGGATTCGTACTCGATACCATTGCTTTTTGAGCAATGTGTGACAGCGCCAATCTCAGCAGTGAAGCGCACAGGCTTGAACTCGATAGTTTACCTTTTGTAAGCTCGTCTAAAAAATCGACTACGAAGCTGAAGGTTGGGGATGAAATGTGCGCCTGCCGTGGTGTAACTGCTAGGCACAGCTGCCCGGAAAGCGGAGATCTAGGTACGAAATTCCCGAGTGGGGCAAAAGTTTTGCTCAGCACTCTGCAACTCAGCATTCATGAGACAATGACTGTTTGGTGAACCTCAATGCTCGAGCTGAACGGTCAT